GCGTCCACTGTTGGCCAATCAGCGTGCATGCGAGAAACGTCTGAACGTCCAATCGGTTGCCGCCTTTGCTTGCGGCAGCCTAACGGCTTCCTTGCTGGGCTGGCACCGCACGTTCGTTCGAGTGTATACTCCCATCACAAACGCCACTTGTTGTCGGAATGCTATCTGTAGACCTTGCCACGGCCTGTAGTGCTCGAGTACAGAGCACGTAAGATATTCACATATTTCGTGGGAACACCTTTCCGCGCAAGTGGTTCAAACAGAATGCGTCGAGCTGCTGAATCGATCGCACTTCTGAAGTCGAGGAACAGAGCTATTTTCGGTCTACGGTATGCGTGGCGCTGCTCTTCCACCTGACACAAGGTGAATATGTGGTCAATAAAGCCACGTCCTGGGCGGGAGTCTGCCTGCTCTTCCATAGTCCGCGACGAACAAGAATCGAAGCCAGTGACTTTGTCACAACTGGCGTTAACCTAATACGCCTGTGGTGAGCACAGGTCTGTTAGGTTGCTCTTCTTGTATATTGCCACTATAATCGAATCACTCGAGTTAGACGGGACATTCTCTTCCTGCCAGATATGTTCGAATAGGGTAGTCAGTGCTTTGCAGAGAACCTCACCTCCATCCTTAAATAGTGCAGGTGGGAGGGAATCCGGGCAAGCAGCACGAAAATGATTGAGGGATGCGATGACGTTTCGGACCTCAGCCTCCGATGGAGTCTCTAAACTAACTGGCCATGGCTCGTTCTACATAACCTGAGGTCCGTAAGCAGGGGGCTAACTGAACTGATCTTGGAAATGTTCCGCCCAACGAGGCATCCGGCGCTCCTTGTTATGTATCAGTGCACCCTTGCTGTCTCTGATTTTTTCACTGACATCCGGTTTCCTGGGACCGGTGGTGCGCATCAGCCAGAAGAGCTTGCGAGAGTTCCCTACCTCTCCCGCCTCCTCCATTTCTTGAACCCGACTGATCCACCAGACATCTTAGTCAATGCGTAGTCTCCGCTTTAGTTCGCGCTTAATAGGCCGTCTGTTCATGTCGTGGTCAGAACTATCTGGGTGTTTTCGTCTGGATTCCAACAGGTTCTCCGACCTCGGTTATCTAGTGATTGATGCGGTGACGATTGATGGTGCCAAAAGCAGATGCTCCTTCGTCGTACATGGCGCCCGAGATCCAGTTCCTCTGAAGCTCAGTCATTAGAACAGGACGGCGAAAGTTCGGTACTCCGTGCCTCTTGATAGGCTTTTCTGAATGAGGGCTGAGACAATTACTCAGTTGCCACTCTGTCATTTACACTGCTATTTGCGAATTCAGTATCTTATTGAGTCAACCTATGCAAGTGACTTCATAATCGCATACGAATCGGGTCCTTTAATGATCATGGTGAGCGACTGCTTCATTGGTGTGAAGATGCTCACGTATCTCTTGCGGGTACTAACTTCGGAGACAGCACCCGCCGGAGGGTGACAAGGTGCCCAGCAGCCTTAAAGCAGCCTTGGACACAAGTCGATCACATGGTGATCAATTACCGCTCGAGAGGAAACGTCTAAAAATGTCGCCCGATTTGGAGCACATTTGTGGACACTTATGATGCCGTTACATGTGCTGACCTGTGGGTGCGTTTTGGTGGTCGCACCGGACGACGCTGTGAGCGCATTGACACCAGCCAACTAAGGAAGCCAGATGTTATGAATGTGTATCGAAATACGCTGACATTCGGATTCGGAAAGCGCTCACTGAATACACTTGAAGATCACTGGTCCAAAGTCCACCAGACCTTACTAGCAGCAGACAAGTTCCTATGCGATAAATCCGTGATAGCCTGAAGAGAATTTTACTGGTCTCTTCGTGCTTCAGAGATGAAAGTAACCGCTGCCCTTGATAATAACCATCGGAAGTTATTCCGTCTGATACGGGAAATGGGCAGCAGGAGACCTGGTGTTAGCAAAACAATACGTGACGAGAGTGGACAGTTTATCCATAACTTGTCAAAACGCTTGGAACATTGGGCTGAGCATTTTGAAAGGCAATTTAATCGGCCGGAATTGTTAGATTCCTCACCGGCCAATGATCGGCCTGCTACATGGGGTGTTCCTTTGGATCCACCCTCTCTCTCTGAAGTTGAACGTGAGATCAGATTGCTGAAGTTGTATAAAGCTGCGGGACCAGATGATCTTCAGCATTCCTCTTCCAATTGGGGGAGTCTGCACTTGTTGGCGATTTACACGAGTTACTAGTGAGACTGTGGGAGCAGAAATTGTCCCAACCGAGTGGATCCGCTACGTTACTGTCCCGATCTCCAAAGAAGGCTCCCGTTCGGAATGCGGCAACCATAGAGAAATCGGTCTGATCTCCATCGCTTCCAAATTGCTTGCCTCTGTCATCCTTCACAGATTGACTAGCACTCGTGAAGGCCAGACTTATGAGGAGAAGGCCGGGTTTTGTCGAAGTCGAGTTGCATCGGTCACATATTCACCTTACGTGTTGTTGGAGCCTACGGTAGTCGATTTCCTCGATATCAAAGTACATTCGATTCGGTGGATCGATGTGCCATTTGGGACTGTCTACTAAGGAAAGGTAAGTCCGATAAATATGTAAACATTATCCGAGCGCTTTGCACGCGTAGCTGGGGCAGAGTGATGACCTACGGCAAGCTGTCGCCCCCATTCAATATTTCCAGTGGTGTAAGACAAGGATGTCTGCTGTCTCCTATCCTCTTCAACTTTGCTATTGAGGAAGTCATAGAGATTGCGTTCACAGGACAAGATTTGGAAGTTGTGGAACTGCTCCCAGTTGAAAGACATCTTGAATTGGAGCATGCTGACGACAGTTCCCTAGTTTGTGACTGCTCACAAATGTGCCAAACAGTACTAGACAGCTTAACACTGGCTGTCAGCCGTTTCGGACTAGGCTTTGCTCCCTCGAAGTGCGAAATTTTTCTCCAATAATTGCAGGGATTATCTGCTGCGCTGACCCTTAGTGGGAAACAGGGGGAAAAACAGTCATTCAAAAATGCAAATACTTCGGCAGTTGCATCAGCGCCGTTTAAACTGAAGACGAAATTACAAACCGTACAGCAAGTTCGGGGCGTTTTTGCTAACATTTGCTACCTATGTTGCCGGCGCGACATCCCCTTTTCGTTAAGAACAGAGTGTACAACACAGCCGTACTTTCGACCCTGCTGTACGGTTGTGAAACTTGGCCCATTAAATCGGCAGACGTGAAGAGACTAGTTACATTCGACAACCGATGCCTTCTCAGTTAGGCTCATGTCTCTGGGAACACCGTGCAAGCAATGAGCGTGTTCGATGCCACGTTTATAGCACATGAAGAGAAACTGTTCCGCTCAGCACCATTATTTCACGCACCAGACTCCGATGGCTCAGCCACGCGTCACGCATGTCAGCCCACCGATTTCCGCGACGTGCGTTGTCGGCGCGCCGGGGTTGGGGATGGAAGAAGAAGAGAGGTGGCCAAGCAATGACTTAGTCAAGAGGAATGAAGGCCGTCACTTTGAAGTTGGCCTCGGTTGGAACTTCTCGGACTGAGTTCCGAAAGACAATGAACAAGTTTGACTGGATATACTTGTTGACATGGCTAGGAGCCAATCTCAGTGGCCTTCGTGATGTGAGTTTCGTTGTCCCTCCACCTCACGCCTAGCCTTCCCCTCCAACCACGATCTCATTTACTAGGTATAAGGTAACTCTTTTGCGGTACAATAGCTGGCTGTTAGCTCTCTGGAACGATGTCCATCCGTTACAGGTGACTCAGCCGGCGTGTCCTTGTTGCATGTTTTTTTCTTTTCTAATGTATTGCGGCACAATATATGAAGTCTGTTCCATCTCTGGCTAGCGTCTGTGATGATGATGATACCGAAAAGACTGAATTCTAACTACTCATGGTTGCAGCTTGATGCCATTTCGAGTGGTGGCTTCTTGCAAAGTTAATCATAGGTCTAGAAACCAGCCATGTCCTCTACAAATTCACAACGTGCATGAGCCGCGCTATACCTCAAGTAGAAATTAGCCGCGGGTGTTTACCGCCGTCAATCACAGCTCAATGGCTTAAGTCGCTGGCTCCTAAGAGTAAGATCACGGGTTGAAAGCTAATAGGGTCCGACCGATGAGCGCTGCTGAAGACTCGCAATAGGTAGAAACGGCAGGCTAGCGTTTTTCCGGATGCATGGGGACTGATTAGTTGGTGCGTTTTTGTTAAAGTATTTATAGGTTTTTTAGTTGGAGTCGATGAGGGCATGTTGGACGCATTACAAGCGAGATAGAGGGATTTAAACTGACAGTTTGATGGAGCCTGGTAGAATAAAGTCCTCCTGTGTGCATACCCAGCCGACCCCCCCCAGTTGACACGAATTTGGAGAACGTATTGAGTAATCCGAGAGATGGCAATTCGCCACAGATGATCTCGTCCTAGAAAAATTCTCACCTTAGTCCCAAATCCCTCTGCTTATAAGTGAAATTGCAAAGGACCAGACTAGACACCCCACTTTTACATCATGTGAAAGGCCAATCTGCATGTGTGCTGACATTGCTGGGAGGATCCGGCGAAAGCGGCAGTATAGGTTAGCTATCGAAATGCGATCGTGAGTCGTATGATAGTGTCCCTCTATGCAGCAACATGTAGCTATCACGGTTGTGCTGATTGCCGGCAGTCCTAGTTCACGGCCATCTTTTTGGACGGTCAGCAAAATTTTGAGGTTAATAAGATGGTGTGGATAATAAGCTTGAGGCAGTTACCGACATTTGCTCCAATTAGTAATTGGTTACGGATCAGCTGAGGACGAGCAAAGAGAAGAAACCGGTAGAGAACATTGTGGGTTGGCTAGCCGAGGCTGAAACAAAAGTGCACTCCATATGGAGTGCAAAAATCGCGATAGAATCCATATGCGTAGCAAAAGCATCGTTACGTAAGATCAGACAGCATGAGCACAGAAGTGGTAGGAGAACATGAGTTAGCCACGGAGCAGCATTGTAGGAAAGACGTACCGTATGGCATCTGTCAGTACGGAAAAGGAGTCCTCGGCAGAGTCGCGCGAGCGAAAGGAAAGAGTAAAATGGCTACCGCGGCAGTAGACCTACAACGGACAAGAAAAACTAGCGGTTATTAATGAGTGGGTGAAATATTAACAGAGAGATGTAAGAAACCGCATGTAGGTGCGCCACTGACCGCATGACAATGCCATGTCTAATGGGGTCTCCGACTACTGAGGTGAACCATCCCGAGGCCCTCAAACACATAATGGCCTATTCCGCCGGTTGATTTCCTCCAGCCTTCATGCCATGCCGTCCACTGACCAATCCGTGATTTCACCTAAGTAGATGCAGCAACGGCATATAACGCTCAGCAAACTAAGCGATCAACGGGCATACTGAAGACATAATCCGGCCAACGCAAACGATTCAACATAATAGATGTGCCAGTGAGGCAGTGCAGAGTCACATTCTAAACACCAACTGGTGGATTGCAATACTGCTCAACTGGTGAACCAACTGCATATAGGCCACACTACACAACCACCGGTGATCAAACACCATCACGATCTTAATGTGTTCAGTGCGAAGAAGTCGTGTTTGTGATCTATATGTTCACATCAGACTTAACGGAGCGTCTCGCGACTTGTGTTTGAATGATGGGCCCATATCCCGTCGTCTCTACAGGTGATTTAGACTTAGAACTCACGTGAGATTGATTAATAGATGAAGTAAACTCCTCAGTGTTGTGACTATCAGAAGTGGCACAACTATCAGTGTGTGGCAGGTGAACTGATCGACCAACTGCAGTGGGTGCTAGCTGATAGCGAGAAAATGTGGCGCATCCTCCAGTCCTGGAACGACGGCACTTGGCTCCTGAAAATGTGAAGCAGTTTCATGTGCCTGCGACATCAAACGTCAGATTATTTGGTAGCGATCGTTTACTCAGTGAGTTCGACATGTTGGATTGTTATTCACTTGGTAATACCCCCATCTCGGAAGAGGATGGCAGGACGAAATCAATTATGATCATTCAGCTCATAAAGTTAAGGAGAAAACAGGATATAGAACAACTCTAGTGTGCCACAAGTATCGTGAGGGACTCAAGAAATAGCACTCTGTAGAATGTTGACCGCTTTCTTGTGTTATAGTAGGGAATTTCATCATCATCATCATCAACAGCAGCACATCAGCCATTTGAACTGATGCTTCGCTGCCATACAACCATGAAGAACTATGAAATAAAGAATAAGAAGAGGGAGAGAAGGGGGACTTACCTGAAAACCTTAATGCCCTAAGCAAACATTCAGGGTCAAGGCGCCTACACCTTGTGTAGACAGCGTTCTCTCACAAACAGCTGGCTATCGTGCAAAGATAAGGCGGCATCGGCGAGACAGCTTCCTTGCGGCTTTCACTGCCATGCGTCATAATCAGCCATTACCCCACAGATAACTCAGCACCAAACACACTTTAAACAGACAATCCGATTAGGAGACGGCAGCAGACGCGCCACTGATGTCGGTTGCGAGCCATGTCCTGTAAAGTCTCGAGCCAAGCACAAGGTGAGTCTCGTGAACTCCAACCCGGAAGGCGAGACAGACCAACGGCACCCAGTTTGGTCGTCAGTGACTTCATTTCCCGCTGCCAAATCAACTTCTGTCCACCTCGAGCCTTGCGCCATCCGACACCTGGTAGACTGAACAAGGCCCTCCTAGGTAAGCGGTGAACAGGCATGCGTAGCACGTGCCCGAGCCAACGTAACTCATTCAGTGCTATCTGTTGTTCGAGGGAGCTAGCATGATCATCACCTAGTACTCGCCTACGCACATCATCGTTGCGGACACGCTGGTGCCATCCGACTCCAGCAGTGCTTCGCAAACAACGATGATCAAAGACTTGAAGGCGCCTCAGAACTTCAGACCGAAAGGGGCCAAGTCTCACTACCATAGAGCAGAACGGCCCTCACTGTAGCCTTGTATACACGGCCTTTCAGACGGAGGGAAACTCCCTTCTGTCGCCAAAGATGACGCAGGTTCAAGAAGGCAGCTCTAGCCTTTGCAATGCGTGAGCTCACGTCAGTTTCTATGCGTCCATCATTGCTGATGCAGCTGCCAAGATAAGTGAATTGATCAACCACCTCGAGTTCCTCGTTAGCAAGCGTCAAGGGGTCATCGAGTGGCTGGTGGTCCTGCAGCAACACTTTGCAGTTTGAAGGTGCGAAGTGCATACCAAATAATGGGACCACTCTGGATAGGCTATTCAGGGTTGATTGTGCCGCCTCAACATTGTCGAAAAGCAAGACGATATCGTCCGCATAATCTAGATCAACTAACCGTTCACCAGGCAGCACTTCAACACCTACATCGTGAGATTCCGCAAGGGAACACTCCATGATAGAATCCACGACGAAATTGAACAAAAATGGGGAAATTGGACAACCCTGTCGAACGCCACTTGTATTCGAAAAGCTATCCGATAGGGCACCATAGACCCTGACGCGGCCTCTAGTGTTCGAGTATAGAGCACGAGGGATGTTCACATATTTCGTGGGAACACCTTTCCGCACAAGTATGTCGAACAGAATCGATCGATCGACTGAATCGAACGCACTCTTGAAATCGAGGAACACAGCTACTGTCGGTCTTCGGTATGCGTGGCGCTGCTCTAGCACCTGCCGCAAAGTAAATATATGGTCTATACAGCCACGTCCTGGGCGAAAACCGGCCTGCTCTTCTCTAATCCGAGATTCCCGTTCTGCAGTGAGGCGACGAACGATAATCGAGGCCAGTAATTTTGTCACAACTGGCGTTAGGTTAATACCCCTGTGGTTAGAACAGTCTGTGCGACTGCCCTTCTTGTATATTGCCACTATAATCCATTCGCTCCAATTAGCCGGCACACTCTCTTCGTTCCAGATACGTTCGAATAGGGAGGTCAGTGCTTTGCAGAGGACCTCACCTCCATCCTTAAATAGTGCAGGTGGGAGGGAATCCGGGCCAGCGGCAAGAAAACGATTGAGGGCTGTGATCGCGTTTCGGACCTCGGCCTCCGACGGAGGCTCTCAACTAACTGTCCATGGCTCGTCCTGCATCACCTGAGTAGGAAGAGGTCCGGGATTAGGGGGCCAGCTGAACTGATGTTCAAAGTGCTCAGCCCAACGAGCCATACGGCGCTCCTTATTGTGTATCAGCGCACCCGCGCTGTCCCTGATTGTCTCACTGACGCCTGGTTTTCTCGGACCAGTGGTGCGTATTAGCTGGAAGAGCTTCCGGTAATTGCCTACTGCTCCTGCCTCCTCCATTTCTTGAGCCCGACTGGTCCACCAGGCTTCCTTGTCAGCACGTAGGCTCCGCTTTAGTTCACGCCTAATAGCCCGTCTGGTCACACTGTGTTCAGAACCAGCCGGGAGGTGCCTTCTAGCATCCAAAAGGTTCACGGACCTCTCGGATATCCAGTGACTGGTGCGATGACGACTGATAGTGCCACAAGCAGATGCTCCTGCGTCGTGCATAGTGGCCGAGTTCCTATTCCACTGAAGTTCAGAATCATTAGGACAAGACAGCGAGAGTTCCCTATGCAGTGCTTCTTGATAGGCTTGCCTGACAGAGGGCTGGGACAATTTCTCCGTTGCCAATCGGGGGAGACGCTTTGTGCGCCTTCCGGTAAAGTTCATGGAGAAACGACAGCGCACCAAGGCATGGTCAGAGTCGACACAGGTACTCCAGTACGAGCGGCAATCCAGAATGGAACCGCGCCACCTGTAACTTACGGCTATGTGGTCAATTTGGGTCCATCGCTGACCAGCTACAGGTGGACGCCAAGTGGCACTTCGGGGCCCACTGTGTCTAAAAGCAGTGCCAGTAAGAAACAACTGGTGCTCCGCACACAGTTGCAGCAGACGCTCGCCGTTGTCAGTCCGTTCGGAGTTAAGTCCACAAGTACCACCCAGCTGAGCTTCTGAAGAGCTCAGACGCCCTACTTGTGCGTTCATATCCCCTGCAAGTACTATAATATCTGAACTAGTAGCACTGCGTAGCAGCGTGTTCAGTTCGTGATAGAAAGTGTCCTTGACTGCATTAGAACTGCAGTCCGTGTGAGCATTAGCGGAAATCACAAACAAACAGCGTTTTGTTTTACTTCGCGAATTCACCTTAGCTGATGTCGTCAAACGGGCTGCACATAAACGGCTGTTCACCGCAATCCAATCAACCAGCGATGACTCAGCCTTGGAGCTGAGAATGATACCTATACCAGCTTGACCCGTGAGTGCCGCATCGGCGTCTCCGGATGCGTGCAACCAATAACGAGAGGATAAGCCGGGTGCAGTCAATTCAATAACCCCGTTAGGGTCATTAATCCTAGTTTCGGACACACAACACACATCAACACCCAGTGTGTCCAAGGTGCGTGCGAGTGCAGCCTGCTGACCTGTTTGTCTTAAAGTGCGGACGTTGAATGTCGCCATGGGAACGGGACAGCGTGGCCTTATAAGGAACTTTTGCCGATAGGCGTCCGATAGGTGCTGTAGGATGGTGGCTGCAGATGGTTCTACTCCAGTAGCACTTCGGTTGCTGTCAATTAAGCTGGGAATTATAGAAGGAAGGTTAGTAATGAGGGCCGGGATGGGAGTAAGAGAAAAAGGTGGAAAAGAAAGAAGGGAGGCGCCAGCAGTAGCATGCATTCGCTTATCCGCCCTGCTGTATGCAGCAGATAAGGCGACCCTTGATAATCTGCGCGACGGCCGATGCAGGATGAAGTTTATGTTTGAAGAAAATGTCATGGTTGTATGTGGGCTGGGATACTGCCAGGGCGCCCAGACCTAGACAGGAGAACGATTAGGGTCCTCATCCAAATTTGGAATTTAAGAGGTCCCATATTACACCCTTTAATGACAGTGATTTGGGTTCCCGGGAACAAGTGAGTAAAATGTGGTTTTCAGCTCGAAGAAAACTATTATGGTGGGTTTTCTGTGTGAGTGTCGCTAACAAACACTGCGTGATCCAGGTAGCCTCAGCCATGACGGCAGCCAGCCTGGCACTCGACAGTTCGGCTCTCACAAGGGCCAGCGAGTCGATGCATAATGATACCATTGGTATAGTTGGGA